GGACCGGTCTTAATGGGGTTATGCACTTTAAGCACTTTCGCCAACCCATAAAGATTGGCGGGCTGCCCCCCAGTAGACCTCATCCTTGTGTAGAGATTCTCACTTATTTTGTCTTTTTTCCTGATAGCCAACAACTCCTTATTGATGTCTCTTTCTATCTTCAAAACAATCGCATCACTTGTTCCTTTACTTTTGCTGAATTGATTTGAATCTATTGTATCCGACAACTTGTTCTCATAGATGTCCTTCCTCATTACACAAAAATCGACGCCTTTGTCATACGGTACCGCAACTAATCCGTTACTCTTCAGATACTTTTGGGCCTTCTCAACAGTTAAGATCTCACAAAGGGCCTCCCCGGGGACTTTACGACTTTTGAGATCCGATAGAAAGATGTCAATGTCGGCAAGAAAGTGCGTCTCATTAAATTTGACCCTGACGGGATGTTTCGGCCCTAATGCCAACGCTTGTTGTACCAAATTTGGTAAATCAACATCATCGAGAGCTCTTACCGAAACCTCACCTTGCTTCCCTAGAGGTCGGTCTTGCCCGTCTGATACTTTCATTAGCTTCTTCTGATGGGTTCTTTGACTGTTTTTGTTTGTCTTTGTCCCCTAAGACTTAAGTATTTAATTACCAAAGGCTAAAACTTCTCATCTACACCCCACTGTACTGCGCCTCTCGCCCTTTCTAGTTTGACTTCAACGTTTTTCTCATCTGTCCTTGCCTTGTTTATCTCCGTTCTTAGAAGTTCAATCTGAAAAATGTGTATCGCTTGGTTCGAAAACACCCCAATTTCCGTTACCCTGAACCTCAAAAAATCAGGTATAATGTCGTTTTCTAGACAAACTCTCAAAAATTTAACAGGTTGGTGATAGTTGATAAATTTAACATATATGGACGCATAATCACGAACTATTTTCCAAATGAGTTTGTTTTTTAAAGTCAAAATCAAGATCGGAGGTGGGAGTACAACTGTGTTCATTGGTTTGCAGGCCACGAGGAGTGAACCTCCCGTGACACAAAGCAACACAAATAACACAAGTTTAAATTACCCTCTCCGTTGAAGCCTCCTCGTCAGTCGGACCAACAGTTTCCTCGCCTCTGTTCACCAGTCTTCTTTTCTCTGCCCTCCTTCTCAATTGAGATTTCTTTTTCGTGTTTGAACGAAGCTTGGACAAAACAGCTGGCAGCTTGTCTTGGTGTTCGAACACAATCCGCAAAGACTTTAGCTCCAGCTGGACGTCCTGGTGCAGTGCCTGATATTCGTTGACCAGCTCCGTTCTTCTCTTCCTCTTTGAAATGAGACACTTCGTAATAGGAATGAAAAGAATACCCGAGCTGATCAGCTGGTTCCTGATATCCGGTGTACCGTTTCTCTGACAGTATACAATTGCGCTGATATTGGTCAGTGTCTTCAGGATTTCTGTCAATTCCTCTGCAATGCAAGCTCTGCAATTGCTTGTGCGGTGACTGTTGATAGAATTATTGATGATGTCGTGCCACACAACCACTTGACGTTTTTCTGCTAGAGGTGCCCTGCAAAGTAGGCTTGCGAGTTTCTTCTGTGGGTTCGTGGTGTTCGAGTTTAAAGAAAGTCCCGGAATAGCCAAAATTTTGGGCAGAAATCGTTCTTTTTGCGGGTTGCTAAGTTGTTCCAGAATGTGGAAGAGGGAGCTAGCCGCTACAATGTAGACCATTTCAATTCTAACATGGTAAAATTCTAAAAGTTTTTTCCTCTAACAAGATTTCTCCACTAAAACAAGGAAAATTTTTTTAAATAACGTCTCCTTGTAGGAGAGACTGTAACTGAGAATTGGCTCGACGCCGTAGGGTTTCAAAATTTTACATTCGAACGCCGTAGGTGTTCAAAATTTTACAACTATGGAAAGTAATCGACCAGACTTCCAGCAGCATCAAGTTACTTACAATAGAGGCGCTGCACATTGGGAAAGGGAGACCGGCAATTCACAAGCGCGACGAGTTTAGAAGTAGGGAGCTGACACTAAGGCTATAGTTCCAGAATCGAAATATTCTGGCTAAAACAAGAAAAAAATTTCAAATAACTTACATGTTAGCATGAAAATTAGCGACAAAACGAAATTGTAAAAACAAAAAAGGTGAAAACTCTCAGAAATTTGTGACAAAATGTTTAAAATTGTTACATAATAGTTGTTACATGATTTCAGTAATATTTGTAAAGTTTTGATTGGTTGAATTTTTTAAATTTTGAAATAGTGAACTTTTTATGATCTTTGATCATTTTGTACAGTTAGTTCAGAATTTTTAAAACCTGAAGATGCACAAAAATGTGCGAAAACGTTTGTTTGAATTGACATTTTTAACGCTTTCTGGTATTGGCCTAAAACAGCAGTTTTTTTATTATTGAAATAAAACGGTAAATTCAAATGAATTGATATCCCTGAACCAGACTTAGGTTGGAGCCGAACTTAGCAACGCCGAGTGTGGCATAAACAAACCATCCTCGGAAAAAAAACAAACTCGGTTTTTGGAGGAAATTACGTTTTCCGAGAACTTTATTTGGGTTGCCAACCCAGTTCAAGAAAGTAACCTAAAATGATAACTTCCTAAAATGGACCTGGCAAGGAAATAACGAAATCAGTTTTTGAAAGTAATCGTGTTTTAATATTCTTAGACTTTTTTGTGGGGTTGATAACCCAATTAAAAACAGTAATTAAAATTGGCCTAAAACGTTAATTTAGGCAGTCTTTTGATAGTGGCCCAAAGCGGTAACGTTTTGACATTGTCCTAAAACGGAAACTCCAACAAAATTGATATTCATGAATCTCATTCAGATCAGATCTGAGCGTAGCAATGATCTAACTCAGTTCAAGGTAGTAGTGGCCTTGAAGGATAACTTCCTAAAACGGACGCGGTACGGATTTGAAGAACCCATTTTTATAAGGTTGCTAACCCATTTAAGAACAGTAAGTTAAAACTGACCTGAAATAGTATTTTAGTTAAAATTTTGTTTGTGGTCTAAAACGGTAACTTTTTGTTAGTGTTCGAAAACGGTAACTTCATCAAACTTGACGTCCTTGAACCACAATTAGATCGGATCTGAGCATAGTAATTCAGCGTGTTGCATAAATTAAACCCGCATTGATGTAGCGAACCCGGTTTTTCAAGGGAATTGCAATTTTCAAGTGTTTCGAGACCGTTGAAGGGGTTGACAACCCCAATCAAGACAGTAACTACAACTGGTGTTAAACGTTAACCTTACAAAAATTAACGTCCCTAACCCAATTCGAGGCGATAATTTCAGAATGCTTGATGTCTTTTAGCCACAACGTAGTGGTAGTGGCCTAAAACAGTATAATTCAGACAATCTTTCGAACGTGGCCTAAAACGGTAACTTCATCAAACTTAATGTCCCTTAATGACCACATTTAGATCGGATTAGAGCGCAGCAATGCAGCGTGTTGCATGAACTTAATCCCCAGGGACGTATCAAACCCGGTTTTCAAAGTTAATTGCGTTTTCAAGTTTTTCGACACTTTTGTATGGGTTTGCTAACCCAATTAAAACGGTAATTAAACTGGCCCTAAATATCACCTTATTACACATTATTACCTTAAATTTAAGTGATTAGCTTTGAGTACTATTACGAAGCTTCTTTTTCTTCGAATCGAACTCGCTAATAATAATGTTCATTCAAAATGTTATTTTATTTGGAATTTTCACTGTAGCATTGGAATATGCATAGAATCTGTTCTCTGCTGTGGTTGTGGCTAGTGTTTGGTACCTATTAAGATTCTGTGGCTAAGTGATTAGTGCGTGAGACTTAATCTCTAGGTCGCAGATAAGAATCTCAGATGCAACCGAGTTTTTTTTTGCTAATTCGAGGCTTCTTTTTTGTTTTCTCATCGCGCTCTATAGAGCTGCTTTTTTTTCTTCCTAGTGCTTGCGAAACGAAGCTTCCCCTCTGTGTAAAAAATGATGTCCTTAAGCCAATTCAAAACGGTAACTTCATAATATACGGATGTCCTTGAGCCCCAACGGGGTGGGTGTGGCCTAAAATAGTAATTTTCAGGCAGTTGTTAAAAGAAATTGCGTATTTCAGGTCTTCCGAGACCTTTATATGAGGTTGATTACCCAGTTCAAGGTAGTGGCCTGAAACGATAACTTCTTAAAACGGACATAACATTGCTTATGTTGTGATATGCCTAATTTCTCTCTAAATAAGTTTTCTGCGACAAGGTAGGAAATTCACGCTCTGCAAGTAAAAAAGCAGATATAGCGCTTAAAACGTGAATGACTTTTCTGTTTGAAAGTTGTTTTTGATATTTGGAATTCTTGGTGGAATAAAAATAAGCGATTGATCGAGTTTTCTCTAAATTTAGTTTCTTTTTCGGTTGGTTTTTTAAACGCCAATTTCATCATCGGCAGTTAGTTTTCCCAATGGCGTATTTTAATGGGAGACAGACGGGTGTAGCAAAGTTATCACACATAAAGGTGCAATCTTTCGCTGAGAGTGTTTCTTTGATATTTTCATAGAGGGTAGCTAAGATCATTTGCTTTCGGTCGATCTGAAAGTTTTGTTGAAACTACTAGAAAATGTTGTTCAATAATCAACATCTCGGAAATTCAACATCTCTACGAAGGCATCTCGGAAATTAAAAGCGTAAATTTGCGTATTTGTAACGCTTTTTTTCCGTCGGTTTTCCCAACTCGGTATTAATTGTAAAATGTTTCATTTTTTTGGTAGATGTTTTTGACTAAGTGCATTTCGTCTCTAAATTGCTGTCAAATCGCTTGCCATATGTTGTTTTTTTTTGGCGCAAGAGATGCCAATCTCCGCTTCGTCATTGTGCAAAAATTGAAACAAGTTAATCAGGCGGTTGCAAACATCTGGTATGCATGCCTTAATTACGGCGAACACTATGCTATAAAATTAATGAGTGCGTTAAGCTGGGTTGAGGGAGCCGATCATCTCGCTGGTAGTTTTATGATAACACTTCTGATGCATTTGCAGAGATTGGATGTTGAGGTTTCGCAGGTTTTGTAACCCTGTTGATCATCATCATCATGAGAATTATTTTCCTTCCTACCTCTGAAGTCGAGTGTTTGTCATTTCAGTCCTCAGAATATCAATGCGCTGATAAAGAGCAAGCAGAGTTGAAAATCCGGGATTTCAAAGACTGTTATTCTGGACCGAGTCATTTTGGTCGTGTGATGTCCTTTAAAATGAAATTGATTTCATTTGTCCGTGAAAATTCGGGAACAATTTTTGCTCTTGACTTGATTGCATCATTGTTTTTGGACAGTATAGGAGGAATATTTATTTTATTAGCTTTAATGAAGTGCAATGCTCTCGATGTTTTCGACACAAGATTAGCAACAGAATGGGCGCAGTTTTCTGTCGGTCGACTTGAATCAATGATTACTTTCATGACTAATACGCCTATCGGCCTTAAATTAAACTTACCACTAGCCAATTTTCTCGGCCAGTTGTTTTTATATCACTTGTACGTTTGGCTGACTTGGGTCAAATTGCTGCAACCGATGTTACCTTTTCTGCTTTATGGTGGTCTAATTACATTGATATTGGGTATCTCTGTTTTCACATCATTATTGTTTGATTTCTTCCAAATCATGACTCTACATTTGTTCTGCTTCTATTTGTATGCTGTCAGGATGTACGCTTTTACTTGGAAGTCGCTGCAATCTTTATGGTTACTGTTTAGAGGCAAAAAGTTCAACCCGAACAAAAAACGAGTCGACACTCAGGAATACGAAACAGATCAATTCTTACTGGGTAGTTTAGTTTTCACGACCTTCTTGTTCTTGTTTCCTACCATAGCAGTGTTTTACTTTGTATTCGCTATAATTCAATTAGCTTTTTCTGCAGCAAAGTATATTCTGTTTCAAGCTGCTACAGTAATTTATCAGCCTTATATAAGTTTCTTGTATCAGTTTGCGTATCCAGACAGCTATTATACAGCTGTGTATGTAGAAACAAAAACGAAGAGTGGGAAATACGAATTTAAAAGGAAGAAAGCAACAAAGTTACAAATTTTAAGATGCTTCTATAAATGTTTACCTGCTGTATGGTTTCCAGTGTCGCCGATGAAAACTATGAGCAGCTGGCTGACAAACATCGCCTTCGGATCATCCATAGAATTTTGACATAATACTTGATAGCTTCTCAAAAATGGACAGACAATATTACAAAAAGTTCAATGTACACAAATAAACAAGCGTTAGGAAATCCGCATTTTGTTTTGCTCAAAATTTCAGTTTTGATTCCTGGACCTGCAATAATGCCAGTATAAGAGCAATCAGCCAGATATGAAACACTGTCAGCTTCAAAACTGTTTAATTGTCGTAAGTAGTGGATGTTGGAGGTGATCAGGGGGTCCCTGGTGACCCACATGTTTTAAGATAGGGAATAGAACATCCGGTCACCCAGTTATTTATAAACATTGGGTATAGAGTCTACAATGTATTAAGTTAGAGAATATAATATTACTGTTTGTGTCATGGTAAGATAATGGTAAAAAAGTATATATTTTTTGGTTTTTGTGTAGAAATCTTAAGTTTTTTTGGAAAAAATCTTGGTGCGCGTTACCTAATTGGTAAATATCAATACCTAATTGTGTGTAGATTGTGGAATGAAGGTGTTATAGTTCGTTTTTTTTCAGAATAAGTCAATAATAAGAGTTTTTGCACCAAAATTGAGATTTTTTTTTCATTTTTTTGAAAAATTTCAAAAATTTAAACACGATAAGATTTGATCTAATTCGAGCTAGGTTGTGCGTTTTGTACTGCTCAGAATCCTAATAAGAAAGCTAATAATAGCAATACACGTACCAAAACATCAGAGTTCTCCGAAGAATCATGAAAATAACCATAATTTTTGAAAAAGTGTATTCATTTTAGACTCAGTATCTATCCAAAATTTTTTATGTTACACCTTTCATATATATGCTTAGCTGGTTTTCTGTCTAGCTAAATACGACGAACTTATTTAAGAGCCTCAATTCAAATGATTCAATGAGAAAAGTTCATGATTCAACTCTTCCTCTGTGTTTTTCTCAAAATTCAACCAAGTTATATACAAAAAACTAGAATTTCTGAGAGGTATTTCTCGTTAATTATATTCAATTTTAGATCATTGAGGTGAAATGAACGTTTTAATGTTATACTAGAATGTGGATGAAATTGAACCAAAATTGATCACTATCTCTCTTTTGCTTTTACTTAATTTTTCATGATTTTTTGTAAAAATTTTTGTTTTAAGGCTATTTCTGCTTTATATAGGTTCTCGCTTTTGAACTCATTTTACAGGAAAAACTAATCAAAACTGGAGAGTTTAAGGGGAAAATAGTATCAATTGAACAATCAATTTGATGGTAGTGGTAAAAATAGAACTGCAATCATCTAAAAATTACTGTATTTTGTATATGTGTACATCTGGCAGAAAAAACCTATTGTTCAGTTGCTACTGTAAAATAGTCTTAAAATCTTTTTTTTTCCTGATTTTTGTCCGAAGTTTCTGATTTTTGTCTGAAAATTTTGAAAGTAGAAATACGCAATGAAACCCAGTTTTTAAATTCTGCTTTATCTGAAAGCTTTCGAAAGACCATTTTTTAAAATAAAAATCCAGGTATAAGCTGTATCAATTGAACTAAATCTATGAAACTAAATGGAAATTAATTCAGCAAAAACTCTACAGTTCCACCTAATTTTCCTGTTGAAATAAAATTGAAGCCAATCAGAACAAAAGTACGAATTTTACAGTGTGTCTTCAAATCTCGTCTTGTTAATTATCATATCAATTGAGAGTTTATACATCTGATTCTGTTAAAATTATCAGTTTGCTGAAGAAATTCCAGCAAATCCTTAATTATTTTTCTAAAAATTTTTACGCAACGGTTTTTAAAGCAAAATTATTTTTGTGTAAATCTTGAAAGCAGGTTTTTGATTCATGTTTTATCTATTATCTTCCATAAGAACTATTTTTGCTTGATTTGAATAAAAAACATAGTGAAAAAACTGTATCAATTAACCGAACTTTTTTTGCTTAGGAGTTTTGTTTACTTCAGAAAACGATCCTTAAACCATCTGAGTTTTAACAAATTTTACTTAATTCATCAAATGATAACAAAATTTCCAATAAATTACGCATAATTACGTTTTTTATGTTGGTTTTTTTCTCAAGCTATAACTGATAACCTGAATTGAAGCAAAATGATATCAAAATTCCTAAAGAATTAAAATGAATTTCTATTTGACTAATTTTTTTTTCTGGTTTAATCTTTTTTCAGTTTTTACGCTTTTATCATCGAGCCTTTTAAATTGGAATTTAGAGTTTTACCTGGTAAACAATTTGTATTACAAAATCACTTAGTCATTTTCTTATCCAATTTTCGGAATCTCATTTTTTGAACTTTCGAAATCTGTGCTTTCTTCAATTCATAATTTCTGAACTTTCGGAATCTGTACCTTAATCAACTAACTAACTAACATTTTTTTGGTCATCTGATTTTCAAGTACCGTTCCGTATGATTATTTTAAAATTGACTGTCAATTTTTCTAATTCGATTCGGTATATTTTCAGTTTTGCGTTTTGAATTTCTGAACTTTCGGAATCTATACCTTAATCAACTAACTAACTAACATTTTTTTGGTCATCTGATTTTCAAGTACCGTTCCGTATGATTTATTTTAAAATTGACTGTCAATTTTTCTAATTCGATTCGGTATATTTTTAGTTTTGCGTTTTGAATTTCTGAACTTTCGGTATCTATACCTTAATCAACTAACTAACTAACATTTTTTTGGTCATCTGATTTTCAAGTACCGTTCCGTATGATTTATTTTAAAATTGACTGTCAATTTTTCTAATTCGATTCGGTATATTTTCAGTTTTGCGTTTTTTCTTATTCTGTTCGTTTGGTTATGAAGGTTTTGGTTATTTTTTCATCCCTAACGGTGTCTGCCAAAGTGTTGTCGGCTTTGTTACTTTTTAGAAGTGTTGTTTCGAGCCTATTTCTAGCGATAAGCAAGGGAGTTGCTTAAATATTCCGAGTTTTTGGGTTTTTTTTTTAAATCCACGACGACGATTTTTCAGTTTTGTTGCATCAACCATCATTGCCTGTTAGAAGAACTGTATATAGGATTGAAATTTTAATGCTAAACCGTATTTTGTTTTATCTTACATCTGAGTTTATGAATTTTAAAATTATCAATGTCGTAGAATTACTACCAAACATTTTGGTTGATAGTTTTTTAGGCTTTAATATGCCTGCAACTAAAATTCTATTAGGAGTTCGTATTCAAATTACAGCTGGTTTTGGTTTTTTAGTCGGTCAACATTGCTGCATGTTGATTGATGATTTTAAATGGGTGAGCTTAAAATGAAATTTTCAGACGCTCAGGCCTCGAAGTTTTGGAGACCAGTTTTTTGTCGAAAAAGTAAGTCTGTTGGTCAAAATCTTGGCGTTTCGTTTGTTGTTTAGATCAGGATGACTGCATGTTGATATATCTCTGCTTGGATTTGCGAACTCACAGAATAATCATGAGACTCGCTGTCATTTTTGTAAAGCTGAATTATTCATAGCATTTAGAACCCTAAATTATTTCGCGTTCGGTGTGAAGCCTCTTCTGGGCATGGTGAAGCTTATTCTGTTCGTTTCGGTTTGAAGATATTGTTTTTTTTTCATCCCAACCGTTGTCTGCCCAAGTTTTGTGCAGCGCGTTTATTTATGTCCCGGATAAAACTGTCTGAAATTCAAAAAGTGTCCAAGACATTGGCTTCCCAGATAAAATTGATGTCGTTTGAAGAGCGATAATAAGCTTTCATTTCAGTTTGTGCTGGATGCTATGCGAATCTTGAAATTTGATGTTTCGAAATTTCCTGTAGCTCAAACTTTTTTGACAAATTTTTCGGCTGTTCGGGCGTCTATAAAATTTTTTTGACTTCGTTACCGATTCATAATTCTTGCCTTACTTGCTTACTGCAAGCAATTATAAATGTTGCTCACGCTCAAATTTGATTTTTTTGCGCTTGAGTCTTTTTTGTTTTCTACTTAATTTCTGGAGAAGGAAAACTAAATAATGGTCCACTAATCTTGTTCAGAAAGTTGTAACAGAAAATTCAATTGTATGTTGAGTTTCACTAAAAATTATTTTCGAAAACTGATTGAAAAGTTTCTTCGTTCCAACAATCTCGACTGAGCAGCAAGAAATATTTTTCTTCCAAGCGCTTAGGCGTCAAAAAGTTGTTCGGCTGCATTTCATGTCGTGGGATCCTTTTTAGAGTTACATACTTTCCAATGCCAGGTTTTTTCCTGTGCAACAAATTCGTCTGCAAACGAAATACTGGAAGTTGACTGAATTTTACAAAAAAAAATAGCGAAGTCATTTTCTGTTCACCACTTCGCTCTTGCCTGCGATAACAGAAATAAAAGCTTTCTCTATTTTTTTCGGATTCAAAAATGGCTGCGTCCAAGTGATAAGTTATCGATGGATACTCCATCATTCTTGAATCATTTTCTCAATTTACATTTTCTGATTTTTGGAATCTGTACTTTCGTCAATTTACAAACATAGTTTGAGCAAATTGCTTGACAATTTAGCTAAGCGATTCGGTATGTTTTCATTTTTTGTTGCTTTTATTTCTCCTATTTCAGCCATTTTTTATTTTATTTAAAATTTTTTTTTTCAGAATTACTTTTGCCGTTTTATCGCTCGTGTTTGCAAAGTCCAGCTTAGCGTCTTTTTGAAAAAAGTTTGACGACTTTTGCTATGTTTTGTGAATTTCGTTGCAGGTATAATGAAGTTCGGATAAACCAGGATTTTTTCGATTTCAACATGTTTTTTTGAAGTTATCGATTCGTGTTTTGATTTTTTGAAGTCCTTCTTTGTTTTTGCTTCTTCCTCGAGACATGTATATTTTAAATTGCGCAGAAGTCTGTGTTTTTGTTGTCTTACGGTGTGTTTAGATCACTTCAACCTTCAATAAAGTCAAGACTTCAACCAAGTCGAATGAGACGACGTTTTATTTTCAGTTCAAATGGGTGTAACTTGTTCTTGTGGGCTAAGGGACTTGTTCAAGTCGTCAACTAGCCAGAAGTATGAACAGAAACCGCCTGATCAGCAGCAGCCCCCTGTAGATCCCACTCTACAGAGACAGCTGCCCCACCCATCCATACCAACAGTCGCTCCTGCTATTCCAATTATCAGACAAACGAGTAAAGTTCCCACCTTTATTTTTAAGAGCCAATGAACGTAATGAACACTCTTAATATAGGTCTTAGTGATTCGGCTCTTTTTTCTACCCTCCTCTCCTCTCCCCTCCCCCCCCCCCCCCCCGCATCTGCGGATTTTCACTGCTAAACTATTTGCTCTCCTTGTCCGATTGTTATGAAAGTTAACATGCGGACTAATTAGGCCATTGCAAGCATATTTGGACTTCATACTTAACCTTGCGCAACCACCAGTTAAAGAGCCGGTGATTTTTTTTGTTCATCCGGTGATTTTTTTTTGTTCATGCTCAAATTTCATTTTCCGTTGTTTTACATCTGATTTCCTTTTAAGTTCAGTTCACTTCCTTTGTTAAAAAGAAGGCATAATCGACTATCGAAGAGCGAGTGTGTAAAGGTCACAAAAAACGTGATCGACTTCTAGTTTTGAAAGTGGAAGTTAATTTTCAAATTTCCCAGCGGATTAATAAATACACCTATAGACCCAGTTCTCTCAAATTGAGTGAATTTCATCAAAAAAAATTAATCATAATTGTTCTTGAAATTAAAAGAGCTTTGATGTCATAGATTTTTTAATTCAAGTTTCGAACGTTGAAGCTTGTCTAAAAACAAGTCAGTGTTTTTTTATTGTTTCCTTGCGATCGTTGACGCTTTTCCAACTGTCTGTTCGCTATGTTATAAACAACAAATTATAAAGGGAAAGATCCATTTTTTGTTAGAATCTTTTTAGAATGATCTGGTTGTGATTTCAGTACCGCCGCAGACAACAGAGTTGAGGGCAATTTTTAGCTTCACGGCGGAAAATTCATCCACCGGGTCCAGTGAAATTGACCTCGTGCGAAACAGAGTCTACGATTTGATCGCTTCGGAGTTAGTAAAATAATATTTATAAATATAAATGTGTGTACAGGGTAGCCATGCTGATTTGGAAGTCAAAGACCTGTGTTTTGACCTAATTTTAAGTCGTTGATGTTTCAGTTATTTAGGAGCTTGAAGGAAACGAATGTAGTGAACTTGCAATGTTTTGGTTTAGTTTGAATGTCCGAGGTTCGGTGGAAGAAGAATTAATTTCTCATCGTAACAGTTATGCACAATTAAATATTACAGAATAATTTCACACAAGTGAGATTTAGTGTACTTGAAACCTTTCTTTCCTGTAAACAACTTTTTTTTACAAAGCTGTAAGAAATTTCCCTACTGTAGTAAAATTCGTCAGTTTTCAAAATGATTTCTATTTGCCTTTGTGATATTTTTCAGTGATTTTTTTTTCATGTACGGGTGTTTTAAGAAAATTTCTGATTGGTCGCTTATTGATACGTGACATGGGCCTACCAATTTTTGTCGGCTTGTTTGACGCTCCGTAAGTCTTAATTCAGTGCTGAAATAGCGCTAGAAATTTTTGTTTTTCTTGACATGTTTCTCTTAAAATTTGCTTCATCCGAGCCAAATTAAGACTAACTTCAAATTTTGATAGATCGTTTTTTTTCGACCTAGTCGCTCTCGTTTCAGTTTCTGCCGGATAGCTTGCCAATCTTTGTTTCTGATGTATGTGTTTAATATGAAGGTGAATATTGGCATGTTTTTATGGGTTTATCGAAAAATTTTAAAGCAAAACGCGTGGAAACTCTGAATTAGAGAGAGTTTAAAACGGAATCATTTTCTGGGTTACATAGCAGTATTTAGACAACCGCGTATTCAGACTGGTCAGTATTTAGACAAATACTGTTTCAACCAATCAGAATCGAGACAAGGAAGAAATTAACAAATAATTATTATTTATTTTGGATTATTTATGTCTTTTCTCGATTCTGATTGGTTCATGCAGTATTTGTCTAAATACTGACGAGTCTGAATACGCGGTTGTCTAAATACAGGCTGCACTCCATTTTCTGGTACTAATGAGCGTTCAATTTTAGCATTGAGGAGTGGTTTTTGGTGCAGTGTAAAACCACTTTCAATAAAGGATTCGCACCAGCTAAGTACCTGCAGCCAGCCAATTTGCCAGTCCAGCCTGAGTAAGTTAACTGAGAACTCAATTGCTTTCTATCTTCCAAACTAACTTCTTGTAACTATAATTACGCTTGCGATTAGCAAGTGTTATCTAACCCTCTGCTTTTTGTTTTAATCAGGTGCAATCGTGTACTTCGTGTTTGTATTTAATCTGTTTGGAATCTTTCATCTTTCGACTGCTGTCGACCTGAACTTGTAAAGAAGAACTGGCGCTAGGAAATTGTCAGGCAAGTCTGATAAGTAAGCTCACTTTTCTGCTGAGAAATAAATAATGTTTGATACCTTAAACTTATCCATTATAAAACTTTTTTTTATACATTTATAGGTACCAACTGGCAAAAATATAAAGCTAGCAATAATTTCAATTCGCAATAATAGACAGCTCGCAAATTTTAAGGAAAGCAACAACAAATTACGAATATTTTCAAAATTAGTTTAAAAGACGTCATTGGCAGGTAGCAACCGCTTGATCTGTTGCGGTTGTAATCAGCACCATTGTCATGTTTCGCGTAAATCAGTGGTTGCAGCTAATCTATTTTTTTGTTCCAAAATTGAAGAATATGACGGAATATTGGTGCTCGGCTTGGCGCTTTTTTCTTCAGACAATATTCGACCGACGATTTTTCTAAGTAGCTTATTTTGAGACAGGACTTTTAAAAGTCAGCTGAAATTTATTGAGGCCTTGAGATTAAATTAAAAGGATATTTCTCTTGCTACCGACGTTTCTCTATGTGAAATTGTGGAAGTTTGAAAACTGCCAATTTGAGATAATTTTAACGCGTATCGTCAGCGTTGATTGAATCGCGCTCAAATTCACTTAGAATTGAACATAAAATTGTGTTATAGTATGAACTATCTTTTTTTTCCAACCTAATTCGCAAATATTGTTGCGATAAAATGTGCTTATTTTGAAAGTGTTCATTTTGATCGATAACCAGCTATTAGATACAGTCAATGCTAAGGATATCAATACAGACTATTATTGTTTCGGCATTTCGTAACAAAAGTAGCGGCATTTCGTAACGAAAGTAGCGGAATTTGTGCTCGGGTTGTTTTTTTTCTTCAGACATATTTCGACTTTTTAACTAGCCATTTTTGATGGGATTTTTTTAAAATATCATTCAAAAAGTATTGTTGTTCTGAGCTTAAATTTGGAAAGATATTTTGCCTGTGATCATTTTTCTTAAAGTTATGGGGGTTTAAAAATTGCCAATTTGTGACAACTAATGCGCGATATATTTCGCGCTATTAACGCGTAAGCGGAGATTTGATCCGTCGGAGAAATCGTTCCAAATTGGTTGAAGGAAGCTTATTTGCCACAGTTGATTTGTTACTAGGAGCGAAATTTATCTCTTTGTATTTAATATGGCGTGTGGGTGGATGATTTTCACAAAAAATCTCAAATTAAAAAAAATCATTTTATTCAAGTACATTTATTTTGTTTTCGTGTTATTACTGCTCCATAGACTGCTCTATAAATTGAGGCATGTTAGTTGGTAATTTTTTTTTCAAATAAACTGGTACTGCTAATGCGTCACTTAAGAAGTTTTGTAGGCTCAAAGTTTTACTCATTCAGTTTTCGTTCATATTTTTGCTTGTTTATGCGAAGTGCAACTTTGCCTCTGTGTTCAAATATTGCATTGATAGACGCATAAATATTGCATTGAAGTATAACACTTCGTACTTTAACAATGCGTGTGCGGGAAGATAAAATGTTTGAAAATTTCATTGAAAAATTAAAATCAGCAGACCTATGAAAAACAGTAGGACAATCAGGGCTTTGCTATAATACGAGCGGTCGTCTTTGTTCCGGGAAGGAAAGAGCAAAGACAGCTCGTATTAAGTAGAGCTATGAAAAGGCAGTAGGAACATTCAGGGCTTTGCCATGATACGAGAAGTCTTTTTTTTAGGCAAGTAAAGAGCGAAGACAGCTCGTATTAGATTGAAGCCCTCAATTTTTCGTCGTGCGTGTAGCATCCAAGAAATAGTTTTCACTCAAAAATAAGTAAAATTTTCTATTTTTATCAGACAATACTGAATTTGATGTAATTTGAATCTGATGTAATTTTCGAAATATATCAAACATGAATTTGGATTTTTGAGTAACAATTGAGACAATCTTCTAAAAGTCTAATCGAGTGGCGAAAATGATCTGAAAAGCAAATAACCAAGTTCAATAATCTAGAGTAAAACAATTATTTTTTGTATATTATACGCTATACAATAGGCGGATTATACAACTTTTTTCATTGAACAGACTGATAAGGATCTCAAATATGACAACTTGTAACAAAAGGCAACTCGTAACAAGGATAGCCGGTTACTTTGCAAGTAGCATAGAGTGTCCCGACCACAGTCTTAAGAAAAGAATTTTTCAAATAAGTGACTTTTTTTTTAAATTACTGTCGTTTGTTCTGCGTGGTGTGATGAAAAGATCTGAACGACAAAAAATAACTGAGGCATATTCGACCGTCATAGTAAAATAGCCCAACTTGAAAACAGCTTTTGCAGTAAATGACTAAAAACGAGAAAAAATTTTCAAACTTTTCAAAGCTTTTGAGAAAGGTTTTGAATTTTGAAGTGTTTCATTCCCACATTGGCGCTAAAAAGTCCAAAAACAATCTTTACTTAAGTAAAACTAAGTTTTCACGGCTTAAATTAAGCTATGAGCCTGCATGCTCACGTTATTAGCTTGAAATTAGACCAAAAATCAAAAATTTTAATTTGATTTTTCTCGATACTGAATTTTGTAATTTGAGAATTTTGTATTTCAGAATTTTGTAATGTCGTTAGAATCACCACTAAAGGTGCTTTAATATGATATATCATTCGACCCATTCCGATCATTATTCGTGGTGCATGATTTTGCGTGGAAAACAAAAAAAAATAAACAAGGATAGCCGATTACTGCAAGAAGCACGTAGTTCCGACCATAGTCTTTAAAAAACTGCAAGAAAAAGCTAATGAAGTTTTTTGCGTGGAGTGATAAAAATCTGATGTAAACCTATATTTTGGGCATATTTGACATTATAATAATATAGGCAAATTGGACAGAAACTTTAAAAAAAAAATGACTAGAAAAAAACTCAATTTTTTTTTGCAGAAACTTTTCCAAGTTTTCGAAGTTTTTGGCTCCCAAAATGGAGCTATAAAACTCCAACAGCTTGATTTTTATACTTGAAGTTAAGTTTTTAAGGCCTAAATTACGCAAAATTAAGCTGGTGTATGCCTGATCGCTCGCTTTAATCGCTCGAAATTAGACGAAAAATCATAAATTCCAAACCGGTTTTTCTCGACACTGGAAAAATTTTGGAGTTTTTAAATGTTGGTCCAATCAAGACTGAAAGGGTTTCAATATGATATATCACTCAACCCAGTCCGATGATTGTTTGTGGTACCTGATTTTGCGTGGAAAACGAAAAGCAAAAAAAAACTAAAACAAAGTTACCCGGATACAAAGTTCCTCCCCATTTTCAATGGTCGGAACAAAAAAAGTTAATTCGAATTTTGTTTCGAAAGCAACATTTTGCTGACAAACAAGAAACTACGCTTGCAATTTTTTGAGCCTAAAAATGTTTTGAAGCTCAAAAGTTCCACGAACACAATTTTTGATTTTTTTTTCACTAGATGTTTTCACTTCTTTCGTCAATGACTTTCGTCTCATTTTCTGTCGTCTAGCTTGCCATGCCATATTTTTAAAGTATTGGGAGGGGCTGCGAAGCTTCGGTTCGCCTGTGTTGAACTTTTAAAAGTAATTAAATTATTTAATTTAGCGGAAGTGCATTGGAGTGGAGCAGAATAAGCGCTCGCTACTTACAAATGCCGCGTTATAAACTAATTTTCAAACCCTACGAGTTGCTGCCTTTAAGCTTTGCCAGTTTTCTTCTGCAACGAATTGTTTTTTGTTGCGAGTTGTCGCTGTGCCTCTCAAAATGCCTTTGTAAATAGCGTTTGAATTTTCAGCTGGTTCTTTGAGGATATGGACAGAAGCAAGGCTGTTGAAATTCTGCAGCTGACTATGCACACCAAGGGCAACTACATTATCAGGAATTCTTCGAACAGGCCGAGTAAGTTTACATTTTGGATGTCAAAATTGAGCTTTGAAAAGAAAATTCGACAATGTAATTCAGTAATAATGTCAATTTTCAAGCGTTTCCATCAAGTATATTAAGTAAAGTTTTTCACATGAGAAATAAATCAATTTCTTTCAAGGTTTCATGCTGCTGGTAGCCTTCGTGCAGTTAGCAGGCGAACTTGAATGAAAGGCTAAAGAAAGAAAATTTAATGCGAAGAAATTAATCTTCAAGCTGTTTTTGTTAGTTTTCGTCGAAACTCAGAACTGAACTGTAGGCTCTGGAGTTGATTACATAATATTGTTTAGATTGCTTTGCCTTGTCGCTGAGATGTTCGGAGGACGACCCCTATGACAGAGGAGCCATTAAGCATTACATCATAAATATTGATTCTCAGAATCAGTATTTCTTAAATGAGAAGAATCGATTTAAAACAATGGACGAGTTTCTTTCCCATTATTCCAGTGAGTGAACGAACAGTACGCTTAGTTGATTATCTGTCGCAGCATGAATTTCAGGAATGAATATTCATCATTTTCCCTATTTCGTAGGTGATGACCTTTTCGATAAGCAAGGCTATTGCAATGGGTACTAGACTTTTTTTCTCGTAACTCAGTTTGTTCACGAATGTTCAAAATTAGAAATGGTAAATTCCTGTTTGATAAAAAACAGGTAGTATGAAAATGTATGGGATCGGGGTTTTTAAAAAAAATTTTGAAACGCTTTGGAAAAATTTTTACCTTACCCCCCACTTTCTACAGCCTTCGAAAAAGTGTGGGGGGATTTTTGACCCATATTTATGTTTTTTTTAACATTTTCTCGAAAACTACCCTCTCAAATCGGAGTTTTTGGTTTCAATGGGTAGAACAGGTTGTGGGAAGCTCCCCGCATTAGCGGCTACGGCCGAATTTTAAAACTATTTTTTGAACCTTACTGACTGTTCGAAAATTACCCTCCCAAATCTTAGGTTTTAGTTTCAATCGAAAGGACCTATTGCAGGACGAAAAATCAAATTTACGATTTTTTAAACCGTTTTCTGAAGCTTCAACTTTTTTTTCGAAAACTGCCCTCCCAAATCGAACTCAAAATACTTCAATTCCTATCTTTTATCTATTTAAATTCGGGCTTCCTTATCTCGCCACGTTTAAGCTTTTTCAACGTACTATTTTTGCATGTTCAACGAAAGAATTTTTTCACGTTTAAGCGATATCTATATTGCAATGTTAAGATTGTTTTTCAATTTTCCATTTTAAATTCAGTGTTTATTTCATCGAGTTCAGGATATTGTCAGGGCTGTAAATTATGAAAGCCCAAATCTTTTTAGTTAAAGAGATACGACGATTTTTGTGATTTTTCTCAAATTTTTTCAGAAAGCTTAAATATCGCGATGGTTGTGAATTCACACTTAACCTTTTCTGACAATTGCGGTGAGAGTTGAATGAGCTCTTTTACAAAATTGCCGTTTCGGTGATAGATATTTTTTCTCGCAATTTAGACCACGCGGGTGGGATGGAGGTTCCGCTGATGGCCCCATGTGCTAAAGAGAAGCCAATGGTGCCGAACCGTATTAAGCGAGACATGTCTGGGTTGTCTCAGATACCTCCAGAGCAACTCAGATGGCTGGAGAAGTTGGGGAAGGGGTGCTTCGGAGAAGTCTGGAAATGTAAGTGCCTTGAGAAAAATAATGGTTTGCTTACAAGTGATATCATGATATGCAAAATTATGGGATCTCTTCAACTATTACCCCCCATCTCTTTAACTAATACCTCCCCCCCTAGGTTACCTAGTTAGCCTTGCGATAAGCAAGGTTATTAACAAATTGCTGCTCTTATCAAAAAAAAACTGGATGGTTACGCATATGTGAATTTTGTACCTAGTAACGAATCTCCTCCTGCGAAGGGGCGGTGGGTGAGATAGTTGTTGAGATCTAAATGCTGTAAGCACTTTTAGTTTTCTTACCAAGTCACCATTTGAGAGTGCTATTAAATTATTATCTAGCTTTTTTGAGACCACATATATTCTACATCATTGGTCATGGAAATGTAAAAAGATGCACAAATTGAGTTGGGAAGCCGTTTTGAAGAAGTTAGTTGATATTGTATAGTAGAATAACAGTAGACATCATTTCACATTGATTTTTGGGCTTTTCTTGTTATACAACTATCACCATGGGGTTAAGATGATCGAGAGCCGACTTTCGGAAATATTTAAAAGTGAGTTACGTCCAACTTATTATGTGGAGGTCTGTTACTAGTATTTTTCAAATTAAAACCCTTGTGTTAAAGATAAGTTTATCGGAAACATGTTTAGAGGATACTCCGCAAATTTGGATGCCGCTAAGTCGCCAAATGAAAACAAGGATAGCCGGTTACTGCAATTAGCACAGCATGTTCCGACCATAGTCTTTTAAAAATACAACAAAGTTTGTTCAAATTATTGTCGCTTTTTTCAGCGTGGTGTGATAAAAGGAACTGAACAAAAACACTAAGGATTAGACATATTCGACAGCCATAGTAAAATATGAAAATTGAAAAACAATCTTTGCGGAAAAGTAACTTAAAAAAAACTAAATAAAAAACAAAACAAAGTTTGCAGTTTTTTGAATTTTTGAAAATTTTTATTCCAAAAAGGAGATAAAATAATCAAAGTAAACTAACGTTACTCAAGTAAAACTAAGTTTGTACATTTTAAATTAAGCTGTTGTAAGCTTCTAAGATAAGAATGCTCGCTCGCTTTATTCGCTCGGAATAAGACCAAAAAATCAAAAACTGCAAACCAGTTTTTCTCGACACTGGGCAAAATTTAAGTTTTTGGACGTGTGTTTCAAATCACGTCTGTAAGGGCTTGAATATGATATATAACTCACTCCAGTCCGATGATTATTTTGTAGTACCTGATTTTGCGTGGAAAACAGCAAAAAAAATCAAAACAACCTAATTTTCAATGGTCGGATTAATTATTAGAGGTACTTTTCAAATACCTTGGCTTTGGTTAAACAACTGTTTCAGGATCTAATTGCGTATTTTGCAATTTTCGTGCAATTTTTTTGTTCCAACCATTGAAAGTGGGGAGGAATTTGTATTCGGGTGTGTTTGTTTTTTTTTTCGCGCAAAATCAGGTACCACTTATTATCATCGGAAAGCGTTGTGATATCAAATTAACGCCATTTCAGCCGTAATTGGAACTACATTAAAAAAGATTCAAAAAGCCGCCCCAGTGTTCTTTCAGACGTGATTCGAACGACATAAAAAGTTCTTGAAAGGTATTCTCGTCGAAAAAAACTACTTTCAGTTCAATTTCGAGCGAGTAGAGCAATCGTGTAACGTTCGCTATACAAAAATTTAACTTTTATTAGACTTTTACGCTAAGAATAGTTGCTTCTTTACACAAGGAAAGCTTGTGTGATAGTATGAACCCTTTTTTCCAACCTACGTCGCAAATTTCAGTTTTCATTTTGAAAGTTCATTTTGATCAATAACCAGCTATTAAGTAAAGCCAATGCTTTTTTTTCAAGTTTTCTCAGTTTTTATGTTTGACTTTTATTTTTGAAGACAATTGGTGTCGATTTTGTCTTGTTCACTAACTTCTTATGCGTTTGTGTTGTCCTCACAGCATGCCCTAAAAACGAATAATTTGAAGGAAAAAATGAAAGAAGTTTTTTTTTAATGAGCGCGGTCCGAACATTCTGTGCTACTTGCACATCAATCCTTGCTTACTTTTCTATTTGTTTTGAGGCAAAAGACGCAATTCAGTTCTGTAACTGTTGTTCAATTAAATTTTCTAAAAAGATTCGACGTGCTTAAACACACTGTATGAAAACAAGTTGCAGAGTAATCGATGTTTGACATCATCTTTTTTCTGCGAAAAACTTGCAACATAGTAAGTTGTCATTATAGACTAGTCGTTACTGCTAAACGCCATTGCACAATTCAAGTTTTGTGGCCACTAATTTGCCAAACCGCTTATTAAGAGTCATGAACGTAGTGAATACTCTTATATAGGCCTTGGTGATTTTTGTTCCGACCAATGAAAATGGGGAGGAATTTTGTATTCGTGTGTTAGTTTTTGTTTTTTTCCTCAAAAAGTCAGGCACCGCAAATCATCAATAGACTGGGTTGAGTGATGTATCAGCTTAAAGCCCTTTCAGTCGTGATTCAACCGGCATTAAAATTTTTCACGCTGTCGAAAAAAAAAACGATTTAAAATTTATGATTTCTTGCCTAAATTTGAGCGAGAATAGCGAGTGAGCAGGCTTAATTTGTTTTTCAACCGAAAGAAAAATTCACAAATAAATATCGGAATGGTAAGAATGATGTATCATATTAAAGTTCTGTCAGCCCTAATTCGAGCGACATTAAATAGTTTTCAAAAAGTGGCTTAAAGTTTTTGTTCAATTCGAGCGAGCAAAGCCAGCGAGCAGACCTTTAACTGAAGGATAGGTCATGAAATTTTAGTTCTACCTAAGAAAAAAGATTTGAAAGTTTATTCAGCGCGGTTATTGTAATAAAAACTTCAACAATTCCAAAATTAGCTGCTAAAAATTATTGATTTTGTTAATGTTTAAAAAAATTTTTTTAATAATTATTTTGCCGGTTTTATTATGATCGTCTAATATGCCTAAGTTTTGGGCTTTTGTCAGATCCTTTTATCACACCACGCACAAAAAAAGACACTAATTTGAAAAAAAAAAGAAAAAAAACTCGTGTATTTTTTCAAGTATAAGGCCAGAACATTCTGCTACTTGCACAGCAACCGGCTATCTTTGTTTTTGTCTGTTTTTTGTTTATTTTTTAATGATTTGATTATTTGACTTTTGATTAATAGTCAATGAACGTAGTCAGGCTTAAACTTTTTTTTTGCGATTTGACTTCTGATTGCTTTTTAAGTTCAGTGCATTTCCATTGCTTACACTAGCGTCAGCTTAGTGTATTATTATGAACCTTCTTTTTTCGATTTTAAGTCGCAAATATTGGTGCCACTTCTGGGGCACCCTTAAAGTTTTTTGATAGCATGTGCTTCGAAATTTGAATAGTAATAAGTTAACACAGTTGATGCATTTTTAATTCATCAAATGAATCGAAAAAAAAAGCTATTTGTTTCAAACAACATAACAATAATAAAAACTCGATTTCAGAATTTTTCTAACCCAATGTATCTCGCAATTTTTTTAAAATGCATAATTTATACCGAATGTGGCTGTATGCTTTGCGTTTTGTTGCGTGTAAAATTAGTGTGGATGCCTTCAGTTTGTTATATTCCAAATTATTACTTGCAAAATTGTGTCTATATGTATTTGGTGCCACTTTTACTGAATGGCATTGGCAATTTATTAGCATATGAAGCTGCTTTATTCATTACTAGTGTTTGTCGGTGGTTAAGCGTGCGTGGCTGGATTAGAGCGTGAGACTCAAAATGTTTTGATTGCAGTAGGTCGCAGATCGAATCCTAGACATAGCCGAATTTTTTTCTAATTGGAGGCCTATAACTATTTTTTCTTTTTATACTTTCTGGAGCTGCTTTTTGTCGTGTTCTCGCTACTGTTTGTGAAGCGAAGCTTCGCCTCTGTGTAAACTGAAGGTAAACTCCACTCTCGAACAGCAAAAGTGTAAAAACTTCTAGTTTCGAAAGTGGAATTTAGTTTTCAGATTTCCCAGCGGAATAAAAATTTTACCTATTATTCCATTTTTCTCAAAATGGCTTAGTTTATCAAAAAAAGTGTGAATCATAAATTGTTCTAGGTTTGTAAAGCCAAATATTTCTACTTTGATTTTCGAAAGTTGAAGTATTTTCAAAATTGAAGTACTTTTTTCTGTTTCTTTGCGTTCATGACTCTTTTGCAACTGTCTGTTGGCTTTATTTAATGTAGTCTGAACCCTGAATTAGTATACATTTGACCTGTTGGAATGAGTTAAATAATAGTTAGTATTAATTTGACCTGAGGGAATGAGTTACGTAATAGCAAGCATGGCTTCGACTGTTCTAGGCCAGATGAGGGGTCGAGAGGTGGCCGTAAAAACGCTAACTTCCGAAAACTCGGAGAGCAGACAAGGATTTCTACGGGAGGCGGAGAACATGAACAAATATCGGCACCCGAATCTGGTCGAATTTGTTTGTGTATCATACAACGAGCGAGACAATAAACTCTACTTAGTGTCTGAGTTAATGGCTGGTGGTGACTTGCACGCGTTCTTAAGCAAGCGAAGAAAGGCCAATGTGCGATTTCATATAAACTACATGCTGAAAATCGCCCTGCAGGTAAAAAGACTGAAATCATTTTGTTGGGGTGAATTGAGTTTATTTGCCCACGAAAGAAAAGCTTACCTTCATTAAACTACCATTTGTTAAAAGTTACATTCAATTTATTTGGTCATATTTTCAAGGTACCAAGTGTATCAGCACCTAACCCCTCAACTGAAGCATCGAGCATGTCTTAATATGAAAGTGCAAAATTGAACTAGCGAAAGTGAAAAAAGGTACCGATAATAGTCGTGGGGGAAGTAGCCTTTGAGGCGCTTTTCAATTTAAAAAGTACAATTTGAAATTAGTGATTTTCACTTTTTATAGGTCTTGATGATTTTTTTTGGAGAAAGTCCTAAAATTTGTTCACGCTCAAATTTTATTTTCGAGGTTTGGCATGATTTCTGTTTAAGTTCGCTTGATTTCCTTTGTCAAATGAAGGCAAACTCCACTAGAGAACATCAAAAGTGAAAAGGTCACGATAAACGTGAATGAATTCTAGTTTCAAAGTGAACTTTAATTTTTCGAATTTCCAGCGGAATAAAAAACATTACCCATTGATTCAGGTTTCTCTACATGGGATAATTTTACGAAAAAGTGCAAATGATAAATAGTATTTGAAAGTCTAAGATTTTCAAAGTGATATATGTTTTCGAAAGTTGAAAAATTTTCAAACATTTTCAATAAACTTTTTTTTTCGGTTTTATTGTTCCTTTACTTTTTTCAACTGTCTATAATCAATGTTTGTTTTACTTCATAAGGAAGCTGGTATGATTGTTTCCCTGGAATCTTGATGATTTTTGAAGACATTTTTTGAATTGAGCGAAGTCATAAAATAAATTCACCAAATATGACTTTATGGGTATTTTGATTAGATTATTTGTCGTAAGGCATCACCTGACTCGGGCCTTTTGATGTCCTTGCATATCAGAGTTGTGTAAATTGACAAATGTCTGTTGAATAATCTCTGATATGAAAACAATTTATTATTATTATTATTATTATTATGATTATTTTTATTATTATAATAATTATTATTATTATTAGATGCTTCTTAATGGCTATTTCTGTTTCAGGTTCTGGATGGAATGATTTACCTGGAGGCGCATCATGTAGTGCACAGGGATCTGAGAGCACAGAACGTGCTAGTTTCAAACGAGGAGATTTTTAAGATTTCCGACTTCGGTCTTCTCATTGACGAAAGCTCAAAGGATGGTAAGTGATGAAACTGCTATGGATTGAAAGCTAGCGGCTCCTTTCGACAAGCCTTAAAGCTGAGTTTACCGTTTTTTTACTTCGCTTAGAGAGAATAGTTTTGCGTAATTTGAAGTAATTATCAAAACCGCTCATATTTGAAGAATGTTTCCGGGTTAATGGATTATTTCTGAATTTAAGTTCCAACTAAAAAAATTCGACTTGCTTAGTATTGATGTATGTTTACACTTGCGTCAGCTTATAGTGTGTTGTTACGAACCTTCTTTTTTTCTAAGCTAACTCGCAAATAAAAGTTTTCTTTAAAAGTATTCAATTATTGGAAATTTCACTGTAGCATTGGAACTTGCATAACATCTGTTCTCTGCTTTATTTGTGACTAGTGTTTGGCTCAAAGTTATTAACATTCGTGGCTGAGTGGTGAGGGTGTTAGACTCTTAATCTCTAAGTCGCAGATTCGAATCTTAGACGTAGCAAAATTTTTGCTATTTCTATGCTTTTTAATACTTCGCATTTCCCTTTGTAGAGCTGCTTTTTTGTCGTGTTCTCGCAAGTGTTTGCGAAGCGAAGCTTCGCCGCTGTGTTTATAATGCCCAGGATAAAACATTTATTGTAAGAATGAAAATCAGTTTGCCTAATAATGCCTAACAATTTAATAAACTTTTCATCGAAAAGTTTATTAAATTGTAAAATGATTAACTTAAGGCTTGACTTATGTTGAACCCATGAATTTAACTTTATAGGATTTATATTGAACCCATGAATTCAACTTTGTAGGATGAACACTCAAAGTCCTTTGCCTCTGAGTTCTGAGTTCAAAGTAAAGTCAATTTTTCGTATGATTCCATTTTAATTTTCATCAAACCAACCAAATTCTGCCCGGATTTCAAAAATCCCATTCAAATGAGCCAAGGCCATTTTCCAGGCGGTGCGAATCACTGGTCAAACGAGTTGTCGAAAATTTAGATGCATTCATTATTTGTTTTGAGCAAACATGTCTTGTTTGGCTGGCCTTGTTTGCGCACAATTTGCTTTGCTGATTATTTGGCTGACATTTTATAAGGCATCCTTCAAAATATTTAAACACCCTGTTGACATTTTACACGGCAATCATTGAAACCAGATTTTTCGTGATTTTGTGAGACTTTCAAGCCTAACTTGACTATAACTACACTTAACAATGGCGGTGGATGTACCTCTTGCTGCAGATCAAGCTTCTAGGAAAGATGAAATCTCAAAAGTTCGACACTTTTCGGTAACTGGTGCTCCATCTAATGACAATGCGAGACTCTCAACGCTTCCTGATCCAGACAGGCCAGAAAATTCAGATGCGGTGTTAGGAGGAAGTAGAAAAATGAGCGAACCTACGCCGCGCGAACTTACGCCGCAGCAAATTAGAAACAAGAATCTGATTTTGACCATGAACGGATACTGTCGGACGACACTTCTGAGAAGTACGTCGCCAACTTTCGCATCTGAACATGTGAGGAGGCCGAGTTTGTCAACTTTCAGGCCGAGAAGCGCGAACGAAATGGCTCCGTCGCGACAGCTGGAGAGAAGCTACTCTGAAGCGGACTTGTCCAAGTTTGTAGAGACAGACAAGACGAAGGAGGAGGCCAAACAGGAGCTAGAGAATTCAAGAAATGATTCTGCCAAACGTGAAAAAAATGAAGGTACTAAAGGCACTCAAGATATTAAAGTTGAAACTGAGAAATCGAAATCCATAAATGAATTGCTAAGCTCGAGCTGTGAATGCGCGGAACTAAAAAATATTCCCGATGAGTCTGATAGCGAAAATGATGGTGTTAAATGTTCAGATTGTGTTCGCGAGGAGCAAACTGCAGCCGAAATAATGACAGAAGTTCCGATTGATGCACAAAAAAAAGAGGGCGAGGAAAAGAAGGGGGAAAATCCAGCGGTTACAGATGTGCAGCAGAGCGGTTGCAAAATTGTGATGAATATTCGACCCCCGGTTGACCAGCGGGAAAATGGGCAACCGGAACGCTACCAAGACAATCCGGGAGCTGGAAAGGACAGAAAGGAGAGTGGCGGAAACCCGAGTTACGGGGCTATTACGCAACAGCCAATGTCCTGTGAGGCTAAAATGCAAAAACTATTCTTCGAATGGGAATATTTGAACGATACAGGCCAAGAAACAACAAGTCTCATTGTTTCGGTTGAAGTGGAAAAGATACAAGCGAAGAAGAGATATTCCTGCTGCTGCGCGTTCCCTTTCAAAAGATAGCAAATGCAAATTGATTTATAGTAGTTGAGTTGAACTGAACACGACCATTTTATAGGTTTTAAAATACTAAGGTTAATAAGGCGACAGAACACTAAGAAGACTAAATATACTTGCAGCTTTCTGATTGGTTGTATCTTTCTTCTTTCTCAAAAACAAGGTTCTTGAATATTGAAAATTGATCAGCGGAAGTAATTCAGGCTCTTTTTGTTATTATTTATTTGACTTCTCGAAGTTCCATTAATTGTCTTGACAGCTATCGTCTTATTTGCCGCACACCCTTCATATATTAACTGCTTAAGTTTGAGTTAAATATTTTTCATAAACCGTATTATTTTGTGTCACGATTATTTCTTAGTTAAAAATAATTTGTTTTGTGAAATTAAATTTTATTTAAACGATTGGAGACATATTCTAGCGGAAGACGGCCTTATGCCAGTTTCAAACGAGCCGTAGTGTTGGTTGTTTTTGAATATCACAGAAGTATTGTGGTTAACATCTTACTCGCAGGTGCTTGAAAGTATCAGGGACCCCTAATGCATGTTTGATTGTAAAAGAACGAAGATGATTTTTGTGATTTTTTTTTTCAGGAAAAAAGTCATGATGGTGTTTTTCAAAGTCTTAAGTTTTGTTCACGCTTAGTTTGTTTTTTCGCTATTTGACTTTTGATTTCTTTTCAAAATCAGTTCATTTCCTTTGTTAAAAGGAAGGCAAACTCCATTATTGACCGGCAAAAGTGTAAAGGTCACGAAACACGTGACTGACTTCTAGTTTCAATAATGAACTTCAATAAAATTGATGAACAATATTTGAGAATCAAAGAGCTTCAGCGTGATTTATTTTTCCATCGAAAGCTGATGAATGGTCTAAACTTTCCAATCAACTTTTTTTTCGGTTTCCTTGTCCTTTTACACGTTTCCAATTCGCTATGTTTTCTAAAGAATAAAGATGTTACCCATAATATGACATCGGAAATAGAACAGCGTCTCAGATTCCAAGATGTTGCAAAGAATACAAAACTCTAAAAAATATCTCACAAATTTGATTCTTTCACATATTTTTGTCATCATATTTGTAGCATTGCCATAAAAATTGAATTGAGTTCAATATCTTGTACATATTTTCCAGATACACAACCCAAGCCACACCCAAGCATCCCAAGATAATTAGGAACCCAACAACTGATTCGGTAGAATCAAATCAGACCCTTCAATAATTATGACCCCCCCCCCCCCCCCCACGTATAATTACGCTATGGAGCTCGGATCGCCAAACTGTCGGTGAATTAGTGGGAGACTAGAGGTCTTTTTTTTAAGCTCTAGCACGTGTTGTTAAGGGTGGGGGAGGGGGTTTGAAAGTTTCTAGATCGTATTTTTCAAAATCAATGAATATCTGTTTCAGTCCATTCGAAGTTCCCAATTCGCTGGACAGCGCCGGAAGCGATTCGAGATGCTAAAAACTTCTCGACTAAAAGTGACGTCTGGAGTTTTGGGATCTTAATGATGGAGATCGTGACGATGGGAATTAACCCATACCCGGGTCAGAAACACATTTTATTGACAGTTTACCAATAACCAGTACATAATAATCATAATAATTATTATTATGATAACTAATCTACGAATATCTATGTATAATAAGAATAGTTATTATTATACATAGGTTTGTTATGATGATGATGAGTTTAAAACAAACGAGTGCATGTCACTGTTGAGTAAAAAAAATTTCATTTTATCACATTTTTTTCTTTATCCTGTTTTTCTTCATTTATCACAGAAACTATTTATTGGAATGGATTTTTCATGATCCATGTTGAGGCAATAATGACGCTAATTAAGGCCTGTGTTGTGTAATAGAATTTCAGTTGGTAATTTGTGCTTGTTTGATTTAGATTTGAGCAACCACAAAGATGTCCAGAGGTTCGTAACTCAGGGCAACAATCATCCGAAGCCGGAAGAATGTCCCGACAGTCTCTACGACGTCGTCACTTTGGTAAGAGTTCCTGAAAGAGAAAGAAAGACTTTATTTCTCATTGTTAATGGTAAATTTGCATACAACGAGAATTTAAATATGAAGCACTAGAAATAGTGAGGGGACAGTTAACGAACCCAATTGGGTTACACAGCACTTCCCGTTTTATCAAATGAAAGACGAAATTTGAGATCTTCAAAGACAAGGAAAAATATATAAATCTGAAAACATAAAAGAAAATATTGGAAAAAAAATACTCAAGTTTGAATAAACATAAAGCAGCAGGTTTAAGGCATTGTCTAGACAGGTTAATGACATAAGGTCCAAGCATCAATATTTAAAATGATTGTTCAATCGTAGTCGGTATAAAACCAAATTAAAGAAGAAGTTAGTTCAAGTTCATCACTCGTAGTTTCTGAAACTCGCTAGTCGTAGGCACCCCTATTTGGTTTCAAAAACAAAACTTGAACTTGTTCCCTTTACAGTTACTGCATCTACTATCGTTAATTAACATTGCGAGTGTTTTTGAGTTTTCTTGTTTTTTATTCGAGACGATTTGTCCACAAAGAAAAGACTCAGTGTAGGTGCTGTTCAGCCTTTCATGGAGAAACGCTGTTGTACCCCTGGTTTTGATTAACTTGCATGCTTTTTGCTTGTTTTTCTTGGCTAGCCTAATGTAGCCTCACCCTCAAGCAACGAGCACATTTTTTTTGTCAGGGAAAAAGTCATAAACTTAAATGTTTAACAGTTTGAATAGTTTTGAGCTGCATCAATCATAAATTGTTCTTGAAATTCAAAGAGCTGTAATGCCATATGTTTTTCTCTTTGAATAACGGAATTTTAAGTTTTAAAAAAAAGGCCCAGTATCTTTTTGTTTCCTTGCGATCGATCATTGACTCTTTTCCAACTATTATCTATGTTTTTTTTACTTAAATTAGGACCATATTTTGTATTTCGATCTGTAATTTTTTAAGTGCTGGATGTCAAACCCTGACCGAAGACCCAATTTCGAAGGTCTAAAAAATACACTGGAAGACAGGTTACTTGACAAAGACGGACAATACAACGACCACTGAAGACCAGCTGAACACGCTACGCAGTCTGGCTGGCTTAACCTAAGACGATCTTTCTTCAATCATATCAAAAACTGTCTAAAATATTTATGAAATTGCTGTAAAAATAGCTTCTGTACACTTGTACTTTCTTGTAGAAATATAAAATTTATAAAATATACTGGTGTGTAAACATTCGACCGGAAAATTTCTCTCTTTCAGTTAAATTTTTGATTGACTTTTTTCAAAGCATCGATGAACTATTCTGCTCACGAATAGCGGAGATGTCGACTTTGAGGAGCGTATTTTTGATTGACCTGATAAGAGGCTGTTCAATTTCATGTATTGCTATATCAATCGTAATTTCTATATTGATACATTGATGCAAGATGTATAATTATCATTTATACTTAATTTTCTAAAGAAATTTCAGATCTCTTTGATTATTTCCCCCCTTTGGTACCTAGTAACAAAGTGCAACCCCTTCAAAGAACTAATTCAACGGTTGAGCATTTGTGATTTTTGAACCTAATAACGAATCTCTCCCGTTTGCAAAAGTGCGAAGGGAATAGTTAAAGAGATTCGATATTTGTAATGTATTGTAAAAGTATGAATGCTTTTTTGTTCTAGAAATTATGGGTTTTGATTAATTCATTGATAACATTTTCTTGTTTTTTTTCCTGATTGCTGTATAACCAGAGTTTCGTGGAAAGTCATAGATTCTAGTCATATTGTTGATTGCTACTCGACATGTTGAATGTTTTTTTTTGGTGAATAACAGAGACAGTACTTCGCCAGACACAACTCAATAGTAATTACAGGAACAATACTTTTAGACGGTGTTTTTTGCACCTATTTTGGCGGTACATTTACAAAAACAATCCTATACAAAAGAGTCCGAAACATCAAAAAAGGCTCTAAAAACAGTCCCATACAAAACAGTCCAAAACTATTAAGTTTTTTAGACCTTTTTGACAGAACTGATCTACGCTTTGAAAACTTAAACATGAGCGTAATTAAAGATCAAAGAGCTAAACATGGAACAATAATTCAGATACAAATCAAAGGGCTCATGGTATAGTGGTTAAAGCGGTAGACTCAAACTCTAGAGCTCAAATGATCGAATCCCCGGCGGCACAAAATTTTTTTCTAATTTTCCAAAAAAAAGTTGAAATTCGGTTAAATATGATAATGGGTATATCTAGGGTACAACAAAGGGTTCAACGTTAGAGGATTGGGCGGGGGCAAAATCAAAATCAACATCTTGTATGTATTCATTGTTTTGCCGGTTTCAAATTGACTCAGTTTTGAAAAATCAAGGAAAACAATTAAACTTGGAATTTTTTTTTATTGCTTGGCAGTGTGGAATAAGTGTGAAAACTCATAACAAAAGAAGTTTCTGATTAGAATTTATTATTATAACTACTTCCTTTCAAAAACCCAATACTTTTGTTGGGTTGATATGACCTAATCATAGTGATTAGGTTTTTGGTATATAGCCTTTTTGGGTCGGGCTACTTTTTGTCCTACGCACATTTTTTCTAACAATTTTTCCGCATTCTTTTGCTCGTCCTGGAACTTCTCGATGAGTTTTGGAAATGAAGGATGCTTACTGTTGACCAGTTGTGCGAAATTGCTGTTCAAACCTTTTACAGCGTTGTTGGTGTCTAGGCTTCTGTCGTCCTGGAAAAGTCAGTCTACCAATGTATGTGTCCTCGAAATAATTGAAAATTGGCTGACTTTCTTTAGGTGTCATACCTTGCAGAAGCTCAAGAGCAGTGGAGACGTCCTCCACGGGCAGAAATGCTGTTGCAAGAAGCATTCGAATAAGTTCGCGAAAATTAAGGTCATTGTTGTAATTGGTTTGCCTGACGACTGAGCATGTCGCCAGACGCTTTGACTCACATGGAAAAATTTCAAAACTGAATATGAGCACTTTGATGGGTAGCTACTATTCAGTTTCTCACAGCTACTTCAAACTCAATTGCAACGCGTTTTTGGGAATCAACTTTAAGAATATTGAGAAGGCGACAATAAGTTGATTCCTTTTTGTCGGGTAGCAGAGCGTAAACAATAGAGTAAAGCATACTTCAACAGAAGCGTGTATTGTAAAAATTTGTTAGGATACATTGGTAGCAGTCCAATACAGGCACGCTCCACTATCAAAAAGAAAAATTGAAATGGTCCCGAAAAACGTGAATGACTTCTAGTTTCTAAAATGATTTTAATTTAAGATTTCTCTGTGGATTTAAAAAATTACGTATTGATCCGAACTGTTCATTCTAATTTCGAAAGTTGAATTTGTTCAAAAAAGAAGGCAGTATTTTTAAGTTTTCTTGATTGTATTGACAGGTTTCCATCTGTCTGCTAACTAAGATTAGATAGAAGCATATGAAGCCTTGTAATGAGGTGATGATTAATTGCGCGATGAGACCATGAGGCCGATAAAATTTGAGCCGACAAACGACTTTCCGGCAAATGAATTTTTCGCGGGAAAAAAGTTCATTTGCCTTTTCATTTTTTGTGTACGCTTTCAAAGTATCTGTATCAAGCTCTGCTCAAAATCGAGTATTTGGAAGCAAGTTTTCATCATTTTTTTTGAAAAGGCTTCATTGCCACCTAATATGATTTGTTTTTGCATGCGATAAGCAACTGTTATCAAATCGCATTATAGACTTTTTCCGAGCTAACAACAAGTTTTACAAAATCAGTTGAAGCAATTGCAGCTGACATACTGTTGAATCACAGCTGTCATAGGGGACTTGAAACTTTAAAAAGTTTTTACATAATCAGTTTTCTTTTTTGGCTCAACTGGAGTTAGCTCTAAGATTGGCGGCCTTGTTTCCGCTTCGTAAGTTTTTTCAGTCGCCAGTTTGAACTGCAAATTTCCTGCCTAGATTTGCATGTTTGCCTAGAATTTTTTGGTTGATCAAAGCAAATTTTGTGAAAATGAGTGGTATCGGGTTTTTTTTAATTTTTTTTGGAACGCTTTGGCAAAAGTTTTCGCCTATCTGAAAACTTTTAATTTGTTTTCCTCAAAAACTCCTCTTCCGATTTTCGAAAGAGTGGTACCAATGGGAAATTTGTCTACTCACCGGTGTGCCTGCTTCAATCCTTAGTCTCTTTTTACCTTACCCTTTTTCTACATCTTTCAAAAAACTGTGAGGGAATTTTGACCCATGTTTTTGGTTTTTTCAAATACCTTTTCTGAAAACTACCCGCCCAAATCTTTGGTTTCAATCAAAAAAACGGATTGTGGCAAGCTCCCATGCATAAGCGGATACGCTCTAAAAATATTAAACGAAAGCTATGGACCTCAGTAAAAAACGTCCGATTTTTTTATCGTTTTTTGAAACTTTATTTTTTTTTCGAAAATACTGCCACTCCAAATCTGAGTTTTTCTACTTTATTCAAAAGGACGGGCTATTAGAAGTTCCCATACAAAAGCGGTTACGCCTAGTTTATTAAAGTTATGACCCTCGGAATATTCAATGTTGTGATTTTGGGCATTTTTTCAAGTTTTTAGAAAATTTTATTAGAAAACTACCCTCCGAAATCTGAGTTTTTGATTTCAATCGAAAGAACGGGTCGTGGAAAGCTTTTAACGAAAAGAGTTATGACCCTCAAAAATTCAAAACTTTGACTACACTGTGACAGGAAATACATATTTGATAGTTTTTGAATTTCTTAAACTCATGCGGAAGGACAAGAAATTTTCAAAAACTGGGCTTCACTCAAAATCTTAGTTGGTTCTCTTATAAAATAACTAGGAGTGAATTTTTTTTCAGCTCGTTTTGGCAGAATAACCTTCGAGAAAATCAAAAATTTTAAATATTGAACTGATTACAAAAGCATGTTAGATTGAAGGATGCTAAAAACGTTGCTCATTAGATTTGGGTGGGTAGTTTTTGAGAATAGTCAAAAAGTTTCGAAAAACGGTCAAAAAGTCAAAAATTTTCATTATATTTTTCATAATACATAAAATTGAACGTTTTCTCCAACTTTTATGCTTTTTTGAAAAACTACCTTCACAAATCTAAGATTTTGGGTTCAATGGATAGAACGTGTTGTGGTAAGCTCCGCAGCATAATTTTTTACGTCCAAATTGTTTTTACACCAAAAGTTAAGACCCTTGAAAAAGTCAACATTATGATTTTTGATCGCTTTTTGAAACTGACATGTCTCGAGAACGACTCTGCCAAGCCTGTTGTGGTAAAAATGTGTTATGGTAACCATAAACTCTGATTTGGGAGGGTAGTTTTCGAGAAAAGTCGAAAAATTACAAAAAACGGTCAAAAAGTCGTAAATTTGATTTGCCCTAGGGCCATAAATTTTTGTATTAAAAAATTTATGCGTAACCGCTTGAGCAGGGGAGCTCCTCACAACGCGTACTTTCGACTCAAACTAAAATTTCAGATTTGGGAAGTAGTTTTCGAGAAAAACCAAAAAGTTTCAAAGAGTGGTCAAAAAAGCTTTCCGCAACCTGCTTTATCCATTGAACCCAAAATCTCAGATTTGGTAGGGTCATTTTCCAAGAAGTGAAAAAAAAAATTTGGGTCAAAAATCTCCCCACCATACTTTTCAAAGGCTGCAGAAAGTGAGGTAAGATTAAAAGAGATTGGGTAAGTATGCAAACACACAGGGGAGTGGGCGGACTTCTCATTGGTACTACATTTTTGAAGAGTAATTTTTGAGAAAAACTAATTTTTTTGAAAAAGTGAAAATTTTTCCAAAGCGTCATAATTACTTTTTCATAATTTTCATAAAACATGAATTTGAAAATTTTTTCCATTTTTTACGCTTTTTTGAAAAACTACCTTCACAAATCTAAGATTTTGGGTTCAATGGATAGAACGTGTTGTGGTAAGCTCCGCTGCATAAGCTTTTACATCCAAATTGTTTTTACACCAAAAGTTAAGACCTCGAAAAAGTCAACATTATGATTTTTGATCGCTTTTTGAAACTGACATGTCTCGAGAACTACTCTGCCAAGCCTGTTGTGGTAAAAATGTGTTGTGGTAAGCTCAGTTGCATAATCGACTACGCCCATATTTTTTCAAAGGGATGAATTCTCGGAAATGTCAACTATCTTATTTGTTAACCTTTGTTCTACTTTTCTTGATAACTATCCTGTCAAATCTGATACCATAGCTTAACTCAACACGACAAGTTGTTGAAAACTTACCTTTATAATTTGCTGCGCCCAGTTTTAAAGGTTATGACCTTCAAACAGGTGAAAGTTTTGAACCTTTGACAGTTTTTTTGGAATTATTTGATTATTATTATGCCAATTCTCAGTCTTTCATCGAGAAACCCGATACTGGGAATCTTCTCTTTGTTAGTGGTCACGACCTGCTTTATGCAGAAAAAAACATGGATTTCGGAAAGTAAAGTTATGATTGTTCTCAAAAACCATCCCACTAAATCTGAGATGAAAAGTTTAATTGAAAGAAGCCGTTGCGAGAATTTCTTCTTCAGAAGTGTATTTTCGATTTTTTGTCGTTGGGGAAATCTTATTGCTTTGGGTAAAATCAATTATATCAAAAGCTTTCACTCTTACTACTTATTTTAGTAGAGAAACAACTAAGTTTTTGAGCAATGTCCAGTTTTTGAAATTATACGTTTCATCCCGCATCAGTACTGCAAATTCACAAAAAAAAATTAAAT